CATTGAATTGCTGAGTAACTCGGGGGATGAATTGCAACCCATGATTACGGTGTTAGGCAAGGAGAGTTGGAAAGTAGGTCTTAAAATTAATCTGCGGAAAACGAAAGTAATGTACAACAACCTCTGAAGAAAGCAGCGCTTCCAGATAGGTAATAATGCACTTTAAGTTGTAAAAGACTATGTCTACTTAGGACAGGTAATAACACTCGGAGCCGGACTATGAGATTGAAGCAACTAGAAGAATAAGAATGAAGCGGAGCACATTTGGCAAGCACTCTCAAATCATGACAGATAGATTTCCACTATCCCTCAAGAGCAAGGTATATAACAGCTGCATCTTGCCGGTACTTAGCTACGGAGCAGAAACCTGGATATTTACATGGATGGTTCAGCTTAAATTGAGGACGACGCAGCGAGCAATGGAAAGGAAAATGGTAGGTGTAACCTTAGGGACAAGAAGAGAGCAGAGAGGATTAGAGAACAAACCGGGGTCAAGGATATAATAGTTGAAATCAAGAATAAATGGACATGGGCCGGGCATGTAGCACGTAGACAGGATAACTGCTGGTCATTAAGGGTAACTAACTGGATTCCTAGAAAAGGCAAGCGGGTTAGAAGGAGACAGAAGGTTAGGTGGGCAGATGAGATAAAGAAGTTTGCGGGTATAAATTGGCAGCAGCAAGCACAGGACAGAGTTGACTGGCGGAACATGGGAGAGGCCTTTGTCCTGCACTGGACGTAGGCAGAATGATGATGATGATGACAGACAGGCTAATATAGCAAGAACGGCAGTTATAATGGCATGCAGTGCTAAGTTATTTGATTTAGAAAATGCAAAATACAAGAAAACAAAAGCCTACCTTCAGCTTGATTTTTGAGTGGTCCCTGACCACATTTCAGTCGCCCTGACTTGCCCAGTGACTTCGAATGCCTCCCCCAAAGAAATCAGGTGAAAGTGCCTATGTATGGGAAGCTCACACACCTTTGTTGCTTGTTTTTTTCATTGTAATGTCATTGCCACAGTAACAAATGTGGTGCCTGACACCTGACTTGCCAGAGAGAGAGTAAAACTTTATTGAAGGGGAAAGGGAGAGGGGCGTTTTAGAGCCTTTATGGTTGGGGCCCTACGTCCAGGGCTCCACTGGCCTTAGCCGCCCGCCGGACTTGATCCAGTAGTGCGAGCTGCACTCCTGGGTCCGAGCTAGCGAGGTGTGCCTCCCACTGCTCCATACTAGGTGTTAAAGGTTCGCCGAGAAAATTGGTTATGTCGCTTGGTTTACGATCGCACCCCCACGATATGTGGTAGAGAGTCGGTCTTCCGCCGCACCACGGACATACAGCCGGGTAAAGAGTTGGATGTATCGCGTGTAACTTCAGTAGGTGCGGAAATACATCCGTTTGAATTTTTCTAAGGTCAGTGGCCTCTTCCCCATTAAGGGATCTGTGAGGTGTTCCACATTTTTGACGCGTGAAACGCTGGTGAGCTAGAATCTCCCTAGGTAAAATTGGCATGGTCAATGAAAGAGATGGATTCTCCGCTCGGTTACAAAACGCACGAGCTAGAGCGTCCGCCCTTTCATTGCCTTCGAGACCTGCGTGTCCCGGGCACCAGATCAAGCGATGGTGGTGAGTGAGTTTGGATCCTAGCAGCCTCAGCCCCATTGCTGGAAGGCGGCCCCTTAAAAAGAGCCGGCAGGCTTCCTGGGAGTCGGATAAAATAACTGATGGCTCCCCTCTACGCTCCTGAAACCTTAAGGCTAAGGCTATGGCCATCGTCTCCGCCTTTGTAGCCGAGGTCGTGCGTACGGAGGCACTCGTTAGCAGCGTCATGTTGTTGTCGACAACAGTAATTATGTGTCTCTGCCAATCGAAACTGGCCGCATCGACGTACGCGACATTTGAAGCTGAGCCGAATTGCTTTCGAAGCCAGTTTACCCTCGCAGTACGTCGCTCAGCGTGAAAGTCGTGATGCATATTTTTGGGCACCGGTGCGATTGAGATTCGCCTGCGGACCTCTTGGGCTACGTCGACCAGCTCCTCATCAATGTGCTGTGGGTGGGGCGAAATTCCTATTCTAGTGAGTATCGCCCTGCCTGCTGAAGTTTCACTTAGACGATTCCTCTGAGACATGAGGACTGCGGCACTGAGCTCAGCATAAGTGTTATGTATACCGAGAGCTAGGAGCCGCTCGGTCGGTGTGCTGGTGGGTAGACCAAGTGCTGCCTTAAAAGCGCTTCTAATGAGCACATCCACCTGGCTCTCCTCACTTCTGTCGAGTGAGTGGTACGGTAGGCCATACGTCACTCTGCTCAAAACTAAGGCCTGGACAAGCCGGAGAGTATCCTTTTCTTTCATGCCTTTTTTATGATAAGTGATGCGACGGATCATTCTAGCTATCTGTTTAACCGTAGTCTTTAAGGTGGTTATCGTGTGACTGGCTTTGCCAGAACATGAGTGGGCGCTTCTGTTTTGTAGTGAGGTATTTTCTGCTGTTCTTCACAACATTCTGTCTCACCCCTCCTCTTATTCTGAGAGAAGAATTTGTGGAACGACCAGAGAGGTGAAGTAATGTTGACCCTTCGTGAGTTCGTTAAGCTGCCCAACGAATACAAGTGTGCGTTCAAGGACAATTATGAGCCTGTTGCACATGTGGAAAGAGATAGTTGGCAAACTCACAAAAGCAAGAAGACCTTTCAGACCAAATCAAGCCAAGAAAATTACAGCATATCCACGGGGTTAATGATGGAGAGTGGGGCGAAGCTGGGTCCGAATGCCGCTACCGCGCCGCTTCGGCCGCCTGTTGTCGTACTGCAGGGTCCTCACGGCACCGCCGCGCAGCTTCGCGGTGCGCTTCTGCATCGCGCGTGTGCATGTCGGCGTCCCTTCTTTGAGCGCGAGCCGCTGTTGCCCTTCGCACACACCACTCAGCAGCCTTGTCTATCTTCCGTCGCCGAGCCTCTGAATGCGCGCGCGTGCCAGAACGGCGCTTTTATTGTACTATAGAGCGCCCCGTGGTGTACGGCACCACCGAAGAACATGCAATCGTCTCTCTCTCCTTTCGTACGTGTGGCGTCAATGCTTTTTTTTTTCTACAAGTAATGCACTGTAGTGTCGTGCCATTTGCATTTTTCAGCGTATAGTACAAGTACTGCCCTCTATGGCCCGTTCAAGAATTAACAAGGCGCAGCTACCCACAACGCACTAGCCACGCCACAAGGAGCTTCACCCTTAAAATCCAGAGGCGGAAATAGTAGCCAACGTCACACCTAGTAGTAGTCGCAGTGATCTTTTTTGTTGTGGCCGCGTCTGTTCGGGGCTCAATGAAAAAGCACAGGTGTGAAAAATGAAACACATGAGTAATCTCGGTTGTGATGGCACAACAGGATTTTTTCTAAAGTTACCTCTATCTAGTCATAGGCTGCAGCCATCCTCCATCATTTCTGCCCTCAAAACTTCTGGCGAGTGCCACAGCCTGATGATGCGATTGGCAGTGATACAGTGATTTTATGTCATGATTAAAATACTAAATCATTTCATATAAGCACTTACATCAATGCTAGAAGTATCCCCAGCCACTGCTCTGCACAAAACACAAATAAAAAATAGGTGCTTCAAAAGTGTTCGAGGGCCCCTTTAAAAGGCATACAGTCAACTCTCGTCAGTTGAAACTCAAAGGGACCTCTGGATTTTACAACAAAAGCTGTTATGACATCACAACAAAGGTGCCGTAGTCGTCCGCTGTCGCTAGTGTCCATAGCCTCTATCATGTGAAATAAGAAAAAACAAAAATAACAAAAAGATGTCCGAAATGAAATGAGGTTCGAACTTGGCACCTTTCCGCGGCAACATAGCGGTGGTTGGAAGTTCGATGCAAGCTGACCCTGGGCAGTCTTCATGTCAGGTAAATAATCGCGTTACAAGGAATTTTAGAACAGAAGAGTAACAACTAAGTGTCACTCAATGCGTATTATGTAAGCAGTGGCTCATTGATTGCTTCAACCTATTACAAAAGCCTCGACATAATTTTTCATTGTCCTCAGCCACAGCACCAACACAGTGCACGTAATGCCTTACAATTGTGTAGCAGGTACTACACTTCTCCAAACAATAACGAATAATGGCATGGCAAAAATATGTGGGCTAATAGGTACTTCTAATAACGACTTCAGTATTGAACCTGTGATGGCAACTACAAAACGCATAATTCATGGCCTCATTAGAGTCACTGTCATCCGCACCAATGCCTGTGGAAGCACTTTTTCGGGGACGAGCTTTCGCGCCAAAGTGGGCACTAGGTGAACTAGCCCAAGATGCCGCTCCAGCGGCATGCAGCAGGCTGCACCTTCTTTTTTTATCCAGTGGCCATGGCACTGGGCGCCGCTCCTTGGCTTATTGTACAGAACCGCACATGGCACATCGGTGAACACACCCGCACCCACCAAAGATGCCGAGGCACCCAGGCAGGCTACAGTTTGGAAATTCACAAAGGGGACGTGGATGAAGAGAAAACACGTGCTGACCATGCACTGCTCGAGGAAAGACGCCAGCACGCACAAGACTCTGTCTTGCCGACTTCTGTGGCCCAAGACCTTGCGTAACAACAGCATACAGTAATACTGATACAGTAATCAACTCCTGAGAACAAAGCTTCGGAAGAACTTTGTATCAATTTATAAACTGACTGAGTGCTTGGTTTCAGTATCCTTGTAAAATTAGCATTTATAGTTGACGTGAGAGCCAATATGCAGACAGGTTGAGGTGCCTCAGACAGCATTTCAATAGACCGTATTCTAGGCCACTTGGTCTAAGGTGCCTAGTTGTGTTGATCTAACTTTCGAGGTACATTTTGCACTGCTTGTTTCAGGCCTTGATGATGTGTTTTACTGCCAGCATGTTTACTACTGAGCTCATGTGTTTGGATGCAATGTGTGGTTATTTTAAGACAACTGGCAAACAATTTGTCGCTGAGTATATATGCTGCTTAACATGCTTTTCTGCAGGCATGCAGCACGATTTGACTGTGGCTCCGAGTATAGACTGACGGTATCACTCCTAAATGATAAAAGAAAAGTGCTACTTGAGTACACCACCGGTTCCATTGTGACCGAACAATGGGTTGGTCGTGAGTGGAATCAGGTAAGGCACATCTCACAACAGCTTTCCAATTGTACTGCTGTGCAACCTTCTCAACGAGCTTTGCCATATAAAAAAAGCAGGCGACATCTAGAAAAGTGCAATTTCCGTATGCCTACTTTTCTGACATGCAGTTTTTCCAGCATAATTATGTTTTTAGACAATCATAAATGGAAATGCGTCACTGCTCTACTGGGGCTAAGTTTTCTTCACAATGGCAACTGTTTCAAGCACTTTTAAAGTGCCAGCTTGATTTCGAAATGGTGTTCAAGTGGGCTTGCTGGTACGTACGCATAGGTTTTGAAATACTGCAGAAATGGGACACCAAGACTAGACCACACCGTAGGGGCACTGACTTCCAGCCAGAGTTTTATTACACAAACGCGAAATATATAGGCAGAGAAAGAAACACGTGATAAGCATAATAAAAAGAGTGACTAGGGGTTACAGGCTTTTTATGATGTGTTTAACATCTCATTACATCTGCAATGTGAAGTTGCAAAGATGCAGCATTTCACTATATTGCTGCATCTATGGATTCCCAGCAGTTACAGGAACACTATTAAAAAACCACCACTTTAAATATTCGATCCCACTGAAATCATACAAAAATGAGAGATACTGTTGAAACACAGCCTGCAGTGCACAATGTAAGAAATGCCTTTGATTTCATTTATAGATGTCCCAGCTCTTGCAAATTTTGCACTCACACCTGAAGAATTCTTTTTCCTGCACACCTGTGCTATGGCAGGGACCAAAGAAAAATGAATTACTTAAGCACTGGAGTGCGCTGCTCTTTAACAGCACTGAGTAGACCTTTCATGTAATGTAAGGCTTCTTTAGGACCCATTTTTTCAGGAAAGAGTTTGTGTTTAAATTTATTCCTCGGTGTGTCTTCATGCAATAAAATTACAATTGTATATTAAGTCGTGACTATTCTTCAATTCGTTTTTAGCAGAGAAGGTAATTTTTGTCATTTTTAAGTTAAACTGCATAAAAAATAAAAACTCTAGACGATTTCACATAAATACACTCTTCTATTTAATAATAATTGTCGGGGTTAACGTCCCAAAACCACCTTATGATTATGAGAGACGATTTAGTGGAGGGCCCTGAAAATTTCGTCCACCTGGGGTTCTTCGACGTGCACCTACGTAATCTAACCACATGGGCCTCAAGAATTTTTACCTCCATCGGAAATGCAGCCACGGCGGCCAGGATTCGATCCTGTGACCTGTAGATTAATCTAGTTCAGTAGTTTCAAATCGATATTTGCTTTTTTATGGTTGAAAATAAGCCTTCTCCTTATCAAGTTGTTTTGCAAATGGAGCAAATGTAACAAAAAACCAGTTAATTTCGGGGGTTAAAAAGGAAAAACAACTTTATTTCATATGCTGTTTAGAAAAAACATGTGCTGAACAATTTAAGATGGTGGTCCCACTCCGGCCGCAATCACTCCGCCTTTTACGCATTGTTTGCGGATGCACTGGGCTCTCTGCTCTTCACAAAGAAAACTGAATTGGGCTACTTCAGAAAGCTTATTATCCCTTCTTTTCAATGACATCTGATTTTAATGCCTGGTCGGAAGAGTTACCTAGTAGCAATGAAAATAGGGTGAGCAACAAAAGCATTTTTTCTGTACAAGCCTTCATTCTACTGCAAGTACGGCGAAACTATTCAACATAACAAAGCGGAATTTACTGTACCTTAAGATGAAGTGCCATTCAAGGTTTCTATGAAAAGATATTCCACAAAGCTAATTAGTATTTTATTTAAGTTCCAATGAAAATGGGCGAGATAATGAAGGTTTGTGTAGGAATATATTTTTTTATTTACATAGCAGAACCATAATATTTAGTGGCTATGTAAACTATATTAAACTTATTTTTCATGCAAAGTCGCTCAGTGCTCTGACGAAAACTTGATGAATTATTATTGTGTCAATGGGGCAGTTTATGGCTGTACTTGGTCATGCATTACTGATGAAGCGACAAAACTATACAAGCTGATACTCTGAACTTCTATATACAGGGTTCATACAGGTCCTTAAAATCCTTGAAAACCCTTGAATTTGGAAAATGCACTTTCAAGACACTTGAAAGTTTAGGAATTTTTGCCATCCTTGAAAATTCTTGAATTACCTGAGTAGTGCACTCTCATATCGACATTGTGACCTCCTAAATGGGGTACATCGGTGTGTGAACCTGTCAAACTCCCCATTTTTTTGAAGCAGTAATGCGGTGTGTGTGCACATGATCCCATTTTGCAAAAGTGCATGTGAAAAAAAAAGTTAGTTTGTGGCGAGGGTGAAGCAGTGAATGTGATAGCAAGAAATTATAATGTTACACGAAGAAGGCCAATCAACCCCATACATGCAATGCATCGCTCAAGCACGAAGGACGCACGAAAAGAAAGCGCACCGGACAAGTGCTGATGAACGACTGTCATAGCTCGACACTGGAAGCGTTCTGCTGAAACAAACCAAGAATGGTGCTTGAAAAGAACACACATGTATCCACAGGATGAGTGTAAATTAACCACAGTCACAGTCGTTACTTCTTGGTTGTTGAGCAACGTGCTGGGAGTGTCAACTGTGCGCAAGCCGGCAGTCTTTGTGGGGTGGTGCCAATAAATTTCAAGGCTATAGCAAGCACCTTGTGGGTTTAAGAATATATTTTAAGTCACTTCCCAAGTGTACCGAAATGCTCATTCTCCTAATCGAGTCCCATAGCAAGCGCGTCCAACCCTGGCATAACTCTATAGGAAGGGCAACAAAAGTTCTAGTCACGTCACGCCAGATCTGTAGCGAGCTGAGTGACTTACGGACTTCTGCCCCGTACATACTGGCAAAGCATCGCGGCTGCTGCAGGTAGCGGCGTGTTTGGTTTGCAGCTGCTTGTGTGGCACATGTGTGCGAGAGCTGACAATACTCAGCATGAGGCGTACAAAGCTTTGTGATCACGTGAGTAAGTCAGCTACACTGCTATGTACCTGCATAACTCGGTCCCCACATACAGGAACTTAAAATTGTCGATATCAAAAAGGCGACAAATTATTCAGCGAGAATAAATGAATCTTGGTTGTGTATCATACTTATTGGAGCTATAATTAAAGTTTGTAGCAAACAACATGCAAGCCACAAATATTGGCATGACCCCTTTAAGATTTGACTACACATGCGCGTGAAAGCCCATCGGCACGTAACTTTTAAGGACATGACATCGTGCCCCCTTCCTATGGAGAGGGTGCGTTATTAAGACTACTCTTTTTTTTTATAATTGCGATATCCATATATTATAAGTGCAATGAAAGTGGTCATTTTTCAAATTTTTAGAGTGAAAAATTGCAACTTAGCATGCCACTTTGAGCTCTTGAAAAACTTGCGTTAGGTCCTGGAAAGTCTTTGAATATCCTTGAATTATTTCTTTGAAATCTATACGAACTCTGGATATAATGAAGCAGCAGACACCTTTCTGTGATTCAATGGAAAGAAAATTCTTTTATCCTTATTAGAGAACCTACAAGACAGCATTGAATTTAGGTAATTTTTCTGCTGGCCAGTTCTGCGGAAACTCTCTTTTTTTCTTTTTGACGCTAACTCCCAACGAGTATTGCACATTAGTTAATGCATACTGTGTCTTGTATCTATTTGTGCTCACTAACTTGACCACTTAGTACTTCAAACAAAATATTTTCAATGAATCATAAATCTCAGAGATGTTTTTTTGGTGGTAGCTCCATCTATTAGATGAAAAATCAAGTTGTTTTATGTGAGTTCAAACGTTCGCCGAATGTGACACAATTAAACATAATAGAACGGCTAAAACAGGTATGGATTATATCTCCAGGCTTCATAGTTTGCCTCACAAGGTAAGTGTAGTCGCCGCGTGTAACAAACACCAACTGTAAAAGGAGAAGGGCTGAATAATGAATCCTTTCCACTCGCACCACGTCAGCAGGTGGGGCAGTGTCATCAAGTGGCAAATGGTTTCGGTACACTGAAAAATTGCGCGTTCGTCACGTGCTCGCAGAACTACCATTCCCCACCGCGTCTTTAGTAATGTGCATCTCTTCGTGGTACAGCTGCTCGTGTTTAGCGCATTCTTTGAAATTTTTTCATGCCTGTGAGGTTCGAAATTTCGAAAGAAAGAACACTGACATGTCGTGCGAATGATATGTATGTAGTGCCGCTTCAAAGGGGACACAATGTTTTTTTTTTTCTTTCTTGCCTTGCATAGAAAGACTGTTTGGACTGCACATACTCCACAAAATACAGTAGTAACACAAAATACAATGAAGAACCGTCAGCTCTGAGCTGACTATTGGTCAATACTTTGACATTCGTACCAATGGTTCGTTGCTCAAAGTCCACTTTGGTACATCATCTTGTCCCTTCACCACATTAAGAAACTGGCACACTGATTCACAGAAATATTGTCACACAGATCACACTTCTACATCTGAATTTTCGGTGGACGTTCTCAAATCTTGTAGTTGCCAAGAAAATCAGAGTAAGCCTGTATGGACTTCGATGCCCATGAAAATGGTCACATGAAAAAAATAGTGCTGATACATATACTGTAGCACTGACGAACATTTTCGATGCGAAGCATTTTTTTGCCTACTGCAAGCACTTTTAGCGTCTATCAGCGTATCTATCTATCTATCTGTCTGTCTGTCTAGCCACTTATGTCTGGGTGCTCTCGTGATTGCGTGAACCAAAATTAATATAGGAAGATAATTTCATGATTATGACTCGATAGTCAACACATGAATACTTTCATGATCCCGTCGCGTTTGTTGTCAAACACCTTGCACTAGAGAGTGGCACATATCTGCGGGCGGGTATGTGCCACTGGTATTGCGGGTATATGCTACGGATGATCTACACTTGGAATCTACCCAGCAACGACAAGAACACATAGGAGCAGTTTTAATGCGTGAGCCTTGCAAACGAAAAGAATGCAAAGAATAAGTGTTGAGGTCTCAGCAGGAATCGAACC